AATAAAGAAACGATTTTTTTTTTTTATGTTTGTGGTTAGAGATATATTAAATTCCTCAGAAATCATACTTCCAAAAATGAAACTACAGAAAACATGGACAGATAAATAATGGTAAACCACTGTTTATTTCTTCAGATATGGCACTTGGAAAACAGAGGCTTCAGAGAATATGTTCTATTTGAATTTTTATTATTTTGCTTTCAGCTTTGGAGGTGTCTAAATTTTCAAATATCTTGCTTGCTTTCAATAAAAGCTACAGAATCATGGATTAAGCTCGAGATAGCTAATTTTTAAGTGGGTACAGATCTCTGCAGGTTTGGATTGTGCGTTCGCTCAGGATGTTGTTGCCATCAATACAGAAGAGAAACATTGTTGCAGTGTGGGTGAACTCAGTAAGCAAGTTGTTATAACCCCTGATGTAGACTCCATCTTAGATAGTATGTCTGATTTATGATCCTTTTTTTCTTTTTTCTTTTTGGCGTCCATTGGCAATGAAAATTTTGATCATAAAAGCATTCATTATCACATTCGTTGATAATATTAAATAAGGATATTCCTCAAACAAATTATAATTTGTAACATGACATTGAGAACTATTTTCATATAAAAGAGAAGGTGAAAAAGAAAATTATAAGTTGTTTATGTTAAATATAAAAATGTTTCAGTGAAATTCTCTGGCTTGTTTAGGCTGGTTGCTAAAACATAGATCAATTAAGAGTAGTTGACATTAATGAACATGTTGAATGTATAAATTTCATTTCACTGCAATTTCTCCAGTTTATATTTAATGCACTAAACATGCAATTGAATGATTTTTTCATAAATGTTTTCTATTTGCTTACTTTTCGTGTCTATGAATTCTTAAGTTGAATACCTCTCGCACAAAATTCTATCATGAAAACCTTTTTCTTTGCTATATGGTCAAATTGTTTGTAAACTTAAGGCTTGTGGATTATAGACAATTTCCAATATGAAGTTTGTAACTGAGTAATATTAGTTCTTGCTTACTTAACGTCTTATGATTCTTATCACTATAAAAAAGAACTTTGAACATGGAATCAAAATTTAAGCAGGAAACTAAATTATTATGAACAAACATATAGATGAAAATCACGTGGAGTTCAGAGTGGTTACCTAGAATAGGGTAAGTAAATAATCAACAGATACAATAATGAGCATCTCCAAGAGATTTTATATTGAAGGTATGGTAATTCATGAAGTGTAGCTGAAGTTAAGCTAAAATTAAGTAAATAAGGGTATCAAAGTTAAGCTCAAGTCATTGATATTCTCAAGGATCAATAAATAGTTTAGCTATTGAGATAAAGATTTTTCAAATGTTTCTGAAAGTGTAAGGTTTAGGCCTTGGTTTGGTTTGACATAGAATAGGAATCGGATGCGTTGTATGAACCAGAGTTGGGTTTTTGTAATTTGATAAAGAACTACAGTAATCTGTTGAATAATAAGGCTCATATGCAACAGTTCTATGGACAGTAGATAATGAAAAATCTCAACTATTGAGGGCTCAAAGAATGTACTGAAATCACCTTTTCATAGATTTAAAACGACAACTCAGACAAGACAGGATTAGATAAAAAAAACTACTGTTAATTTAACTACAAACGCTCTAGGCTTTAGACTGTTATGGACATTTGTAAGAGATTTTTACATCCGTAGTGTCAATTTGGAAGACTGTAATGTGAGTTTGTATGCTTGAGATTTTGTGAATGCGCTTCTGAATAAGGTTTGGCATTAGAAGAACACTACACTTCTCTTGACATAAAATCACGTTATTATTGATACAATGCTACCTCATAGGAAGCTTTTACATATGTTTACAATGGCTGCATAACTATTAAAGTGGGTGCAATAAAATTTGAGCTTCATTTTGCGGTTGAAGAGTCATGACAGTATAAGGAGCATGAGTATAGGATGCTGAGAGCTCAAATGAGAAATGTTGAAGTATCATAGCCAATGCAACCTTGGCTTCAATTATTGCAAAAGTTTGGCCTATGCAGGTTCTTGGACCCCATCCAAAGGGAAAGAATGCCATCTGATCTTTGCTTGCCTTTGAAACTCCTTCAGAGAACCTTTCAGGTTTAAATTCTTCTGCATCATCACCCCATAACTCAGGATCACGATTGACTAGCAATATCGGTAGTGTAAGATCTACCCCTGCCTGGACAGTGAGATTCCCTATCTTGGTTTCCTTGTAAGCATGTTGATACAGTGCAATAACAGGCGGATATAACCTTAGAACTTCATAGAGAATCATAGTTACCTGGTAAACATTTAATACTGGGTATTAATAGAGATATTCTTAGTTTTTAATAATCTCTAAACCATGCTTATAGTTAAGGATTTTTGAAGTTATTATGCCATAGGTATTCATGACATTGACCTTCAGCCCTAATTGTGTTCCATATATCCCTTCTATATGTAGAAGTCCTATTCTATTAAATGGAGATGGCTATCCTTACTTTATACATGAAGAGATATAATTATACTCACAGTTTTAAGGTGTCTTATGGCCTCAATATCAGGATCCTTGTCTCCACATATTTGCTGAACTTCTTTCCTTGCCTTCTGTTGCCAGTTTGGGTGCATCGCCAATACAACCATTGTCCACGTTAGCCAGGACGAGGTTGTTTCATGACCAGCAAGGTAAAAAAGCTTGCTCTCTTCAATTATCTCTTCCATGTTCATATAATTGCTCTTTGCGTCAATCCCTTTACCTCGATCATTAGATTGCAGTAGTAGACTTAGCAAGTTGTGGTCATTGGTTTCTCTTGGTTTCATCTTGTTTTCCATTCTCTCGATCAATGCTCTCAGCATTGATGTGATCTTTTTGTCCAAATTTTTCCTTCTTCTGTTCTTCTTTGTAGGAATAAATCTAAACATTGTACCATATCACAGTTATGTCTTGAAATTCGAGTTCTAAACTGCTACACAGCGAAAATGCATTTACCTGAAACCAGGAATGTACAAGGTTTGCATGGCTTCAATGACTAGCTTTTGCAACTCTTTTTGAAGTTTCAAGATTTTCTTTCCTTCGTCATAGTTGCTTCCAAATGCAGCCCGAGATATAATATCTCCTGTAAGTTCTTGAAATTCCGGCCAGATATCAATCTCAAAAGTTCCTCCACAAGAAACTGTTTTCTTCCATTTCTCTATCAACATAGCAGAGCTACTTAAAAATATCGGTATCATCCCCTATACAAAGAAAAAGCAGAAGTTAAACTGTTATTATGTTTCTGTGGAGCCAAGAGAAGTTAAATACGACTCGATTAACCTTGAGCTGTTCCAAGTGGAAAGCGGGATTGATTATTCTCCGGTGTGCTGCCCACTTTTCACCTTCTAGAGTTGTTAATCCTCTTGTTAAAATCAGTATGAGGGGGTTTAATTTTGGCTTTTGAATGTGACCTTCCTTATTAGAGAGCACTTCTTTAATCAACTCTGGATCCATGATAATCAGCCTAGGTGTCTTTCCAACCCAAAAGAAAGATATCTTTCCTGCATTTATAAACTTCATTAGATACTACTTAATACTGTCAAGTGCTATCTACTGTGTATGGATGAATTGGCTTTTGTAAAACATACCGTATTGTTGGACAACATTACGAGTGAATGGATCTACACGTCTCGCAATCTGATGGGACAGATTGATTGGCTTGGACCAGGCTTCAGTTATTTGCTTGATATACTCTTTCATGTCTCCAATAAATGGCTTGTAGGGAGTGCCCTTGATTCCTTGCCGTTTTAAGGACTTCTCAAGCAATTTTGGTTTCCACCAGATGGTGTAAAACACTCTCAGAAAACAGTAGCTCAGAAGAACAATCAAAGAGAAGATTGATGCATGAAACATCAAGTTTTCCATTTAATGGTAATCTCAATAATTCTGGGAATTGATTGAGTCCAACACCAGAATTTAAATAAATTTATATAGAGATGGTTTCTTGAGGGATTTTTCAGTTTGAAAATTTAGTCGAAATTGAATTATTTATTTAATCCTCCATAGCAAAAAAGTCAAGATGAACATTTCTTATGCATATGTTGGGATTTGAGGATATGTATCGCAATAAAAAAAAGCTGCATAAAATAGTATGCCATGGAAGGATCTCTGTTGCAGCGTTATAATATGATTTTATGTCATTTTCCATCTCTGTAGAGGCGAACTTACTACAAAAGCAAAGTGTTTTAGTTTCTAGAGCGAATTTGTTACTTTGACTTGGAGCACAAGAATATGTTTTGGTGGGCACATCTTGGCTTGGATACCAAGAAAAAGAATTGTGGGCACAAAAGAAAGAAAGAAAGAAAGAAAGAAAAAAATTAGGGATGTGAAAATGAGTGTGTTGGTCTGTATCAATCTGCCTAACTGAGATTCTGTTTAGGCCCATTATTTCTAACGAAGCTGAACCGATCCATATAAAATATACGATTCAGACCTAGCTCGAACTACTTGAGAACAAAATGAGCATGTGGAACCATCAGTGTTGCAGGCTGGGATTCTTCATCTATATTTATGCCCGTGGAACCACCATTCGAGAATGAAACTTGATATACCCCAAAACAATACATTTTTATTACCACAAGATGTATTGGTAGTTGATAAGTGTAAATATTACACTTATCTTGATAGTCAATACATGGCTTTTGAGAATACTTTTATGAATTAAATACTTAATTTTGGTGTTTTTTTAGGGAAAAAAACTCAACTCTGGACGAGAAATGATGAAGGAGCTATAATTTATCAAAATGGAGTAAAATTGGACATATTTTGAAAATTGGTAACCAAAGAGTCACATTTCGAAGTTGAAGGACCTCAATGGCAATGTTTAAGAACCAAATTGCAAAGTCAAAGTATAAACCTAATTTAGATCCTTTTTAGACCATTTTAAACCTAATTTAGATCTATTTATCTTTCATTTCAAAATTAAGAAAGGCTAGAGATACAATCCTAAGGCAAGATTACACGTCCAAATATATTGAATCCTCGAAATTTTTATCTCAATTTATAATTTAAAGGTTGAAGAACGTAATTGACTATGAGATATACAAGTTTGGAAGTGAAAATTGATGATCCATTGTTGGGAATTGGGTGCCAAATAGCAACAATCTCTAGGATTTTTTTTTCTTTATTCCTTGTATTGAAATCAATGATTTTTTAAATATTTTTATTGTTTAATTTCTCAATTATGATTGGCAAAATCGTTGGTTATTAGAATGAACAATGTAGTTTATGTTTAATATTTATTTAATTCCAAAGATTTTTTGCAACTTGATTATATGTTTATCATTTATTTTGTGTTTAACATTTTAATTGTCTGTGCAACAATTGATTGATTTAGTGATAATACTGGCTGAAAAGTAATGTATGATTCTACCTCATGCAATAAATAAAATTTCTATTATAAGAGATCGAAAAATAATTGTATCTTATGCAATCTTGAAAGAATTAATATAGATTCAAGCTTTTATATGTGTGTGAATTTACATAGAGATATAGCTAATTCGAGCATATGCATAGAATTAGTGTTATTCGAGAGCAAGATTAATTGGATTGTTGGCACACATGAAAGCAAGATTAATGAAATTGGCTTGAGATTAGGGGTGGACAAAATGTATAGACGACACCAAACCAAACCAGAATCGAATCGAATCGAACCAAACCAAGCGGTTCGATTCGGTTCTACACAAAAAAATTAATCGTTTTAGTTCTTCGAACAAAAAACCAATTGGTTATGGTTTGGTTCGGTTCTGATTCTAGAA